CATTGCACATGGAGCTGTCCGGTACCGTGTCCCTTAGGGAACCGGGATATTGCACATGGAGCCGTCCGGTGCTGTGTCACTTAGGGAACCGGGACGTTGCACATGGAGCTGTCCCTGTATCCCTGCCATGCAGGTGGCCTTGGGAAGAGGACTCCTCCCTCTTGCACATCGGGAGAATCCCGACTCCAGGGACTAGCAGCAAAAACACCCACAGGAACAAGTGGAAAAGGAAATGAGTGACAGGCAGGAATTCCTTTATTGGAGACATAAAGGCACACACAGACTCTGTTCTCAAAAACCAAACCCCGAAATTGCAAAGAAAAGGATAAAATGGGAAAAGGGATTTGTTTTCATCCTCCCTCCACACGCACATCCCAAGCTCAGCCCTGCTGGAGCGGCTAACCAGGGAGCAACCCTTTGGAATGGGGACACGGGGTGGGAGCAGCACTTGAAAACGGGGATTTTGGGTTGTGTTTTTGTGGTTTTGGGTTTTTTTTTTCCCCCCTCCTTTGCAGACAGCTACTGTACAAACCGAAAGAGAAATTTATAATAAATACCCAACACGAGAGGCTCAGTCCACCGCTACAATCCTTCACTGAAGGGAAACGTATATATATATACACATATATGATATATACACACATATATGATATATACACACATATATGATATATATACACACATATATGATATATACACACACATATATATATATATCCTGATAAAGAATCTCTCTGACTTACACCGGCTACGTGTTCCTAAGGGAAGGCTTGGAGTGCAGGGGGGAAACATCCCACAAAACCAGCATCCAGAGGGAGCCACGGAGCGGGAAAAGCTCCGGGAACAGGCGAGAGACCCCTCCGTTTCCCGAGGGCTTAATCCCTCGGTTCCCAAGGGATGTGCGAGCCGACGCAGCGCCCGCTCTCCGCGGCCGCCATGGGGCAGATGGCGTTGGGCGCCGTCTCCCGCTGCCCCTTCCCCTTGCCGAAGGGCACGTCCTTGGGGAGGAAGAAGCTGTACCTGACCTTGGGCGGCTGCAGCTCGCCGGCCACGCTCAGCAGCTGCACGGTGAGCGGCTCCGGCAGGCGCCGGTAGCTCTGGAGCCTCTCCAAGGCGGTCATGGAGCCGCTGTACTTGAGCACGGTGCCCGCCAGCGGGATGTCCTGCTCGGCGGCCGACACGGCGAAGCCGCCGTTGAGGAGGTAGCGGCCGCCCGGCGTGCGCAGCGCCAGGTAGTTGCCGTCGTGGCGCACGCCGCCGCGGCTGCGCTGCTTCACGTCGATGTTGGTGGCGCCCGCGGGGATGGTCACGATGTCGGTGTAGCCGTACCTGGAAAGGGAGCCCCGGGAGCGTCGCCGGGCATCCCGGAGCGCTCCCGAGGCGCCTGTGGCTGCATCCAACTGGGAAACGCCGCTCGAGGATGCACAAAAATGGGCACAGCTGTCAAACCAAGAGTATCACGCCCCAGGGAGGAAATTCCAGCTATTCCTCTGCTGCTTTTATCCCTTTTTCCTTTGGAATGGGGCATTTTGGGCTGCTAAAAATGGGTTGGTGGTGAAGGAATTAACAGACCCGCCAGCTCGGGATTAACTCCAAAGTGGAGCACGGATGCCATGGATCAGGACACGGGCCATCCCGCTGGCGTTTCCGAGGTTGGGAATGACAGCGGGAGCGTTTTTGGAGCGGAGCCGGCAGGTCAAAGCCTGCACCCCGGCCTCCCTCGCCTTGATCTTGGCGGGATCTCCTCTTGGCCGCGCTCCCTGCCTTCATCTCCCTACGGAGAGGGGAAGGGAAGCGCGTAGGGAATGTGGGGCGCGCTTACTTGGAGCGGTTGAGGGAGCCGGAGATCCTGCGGCACGTGGAGCCGTCGCCGCCGCACACGCCGCACTTGTCCAGCTTCCGCGGGGAGCCCACGACGTGGTCGCAGCCGGCCTTGACGCACTGCCCGCGCACGCACACCGAGAGCGTCTCGGGCCCGCACAGCGTCCCGTCCACCACCTGCGGGGAGCCCGGGAGCTGCCGGCGCCGCGGGGACCCCCCGTCGCAACCCACGCGCCCCCACATTGGCGGGGGACCCCCCTCACTTTGGCCTCGAACACTTTGAACTCGCTGCGGCCGCGCGCGCGGCAGAAGAGCTTGCAGCGGTCCCGCGGCGACACTCCCGCGTACTTGGGCACCCACGCGAGCCGCTCGCCCCGCGCGTCCGTGAGGTTGTAGCCGTCGTACTTGGCGCACTGCTGCTCCCGAAAGCTCGTGCCTGGCGAGGAAAGGGCCTTCGTGAGCCATGGGAAAGGACGGAGGAGCCGCCGGGATCATTGCACGCTCACGGATGGTGCAAGCTGTTTGCAAGAGCTGTTTCCAGCAGCTTTTTTGGGGGGAATAAAGGGGTTTTTTGCAACGTACTGCCCGGGGGGCACTCCTCGGTGCGGCACGACTGGTAGCGGGCGCGCTGGCCCTCGCAGTAGCGGCCGCCGTGGCGCGGCCGGGGGCTGTCGCAGAGGCGCTGCGAGAAGTGGACGCCGCCGCCGCACGTGCGCGAGCAGGGGCCCCACGCGCCCCACGCGCCCCAACCTCCGTCCACGGGCGGCTGCAAGAAACCCCGGCGGGTGAGCGGAGCGGCGCCCGCGTGCGCCGTCACCCCCGCGGGCCGCCGTGGTCACCTGGGGCTGCAGGGCGCCCGGCGGGACGCAGCGGCCGTCCCAGCAGAGCCCGCCGCCCTCGCAGGGGCTGCCGTCGGCCCAGGGCAGGCTGCCGTTCTTGGTGTGGCAGAGGGCCTGGGTGGCGCCGGCGCCGTCGCGGCGGTGGCACCAGAGCTGGGCGCAGGCGCCGCCGGCCGTGGCGTTGGCGCAGTGGGCGAAGCCGTCGCCGAACGCGTGGCGGCACTGGGCGTCCAGGCTGTAGAGCGCGGCGCGGCCCGGCGGCCCCGCGGGCAGCGGCAGCGCCCGCGACGGCGCGTCCAGCAAACAGTCGCCTGGGGAAAACGCCGGGATGCTCCGTGGTGCCGCGGGCACCGGGGTGTCACCCGTGGCGGCGGCCGCCGTCGGGCCTCACCGTGGCYGCCGTCGAGGAAGTCGGTGAGGTAGGCGGCACTGCAGGGCGACCAGGGCTGCGAGCGGTTGAGCTGCACGAAGAGCGGTGCCATGACGTGGTGCGGGGCCGGCGGCCCGAAGAGCCGCTCGCACGTCTTGGAGTCGTCGTGGGGCATGCTCAGCACGTGCCCTGCGCGGCGCCGGGGAGAGAGGCGCTTTGCTCCCTGCATCCATGCGCCCAGGTGCCCACGGGCCCGGTGGCAACGTCCCGGGGTGCCCTTCCCTCCGTGCGCCCGTTACCGAGCTCGTGGGCCAGCGTGTAGGCGGCCTGCAGGCCCTCGTCCTCGATGACCGAGCAGCTCTTGTTGCGGTCGCACATGGTGCCGATGTCGGCCACCCCCAGCGTGTCGCAGCTCTGGTAGCCACAGAAGTCCTAAGCGGGGACAGAAGCACCAAAGGGGCACGGATGAAGCAGGAGGCTCCCGTCCCGAATTCCCGGCGTTTCTCGTGTCCTTGCGGGACCTTTCTGGTGAGCAGCACGGCCGTGTCGTAGTGCTCGGGGTGCCGGTCGCTGGGCGGGTTGAACTTCTGCTGCCAGTCGCAGAAGTTGCGCAGGGTGAGGCCGCCGTTGTCGGAGACGGCCGGTCCTGCCTCCTCGTCCTCCACCACGAGCACCTTCACCACCACCAGGTTCACGGCGTTCCTCAGGCTCGGGTGCCGGTAGATGTCGGCCGCCACGGCCATCAGTGTCAGCACGTGGCTCTGGCAGGGGAAAACGACAGGGGCAAGCGGTGCTTCCCAACCTCTGCGGTGGGAATGTCGGCATCCCAGCTCCACCGCAAGCTTGGGAAGCTTGGGAGGACCTGGGGGTTGCAGCCCCTTCAGCTTCGCTCCGTGGATGTCGATGGTGACGCAAACGTCTTATCGGAGCATCGAAATTCCTGCTCGCCCTGGCCCCCGCTCGCGACCGCGGCGTCACGGGGAAGAAATGCGGCTGTTGCACAATGAGGGAGGGGAAAGCGGCTGCTCCCGGGTCACAAATTACACGGGAATTAAACAAATGATGCCCGCTCCAAGGCCCGGTTTTGGCCCGAGCTCACGGGGCTGCTCCGGGGCTGCATGAGCCTCGCGGCTGCAACCTGGACAGATCCGCATGGAGGTCCCCGCAATGCCGGTTTGCTTGGAAAGAAGGGGAAAATGGGAAAAAAGAGGGGGAAAAAATGAAAAAGCGGAGCCCGGGGAACTCCAGCGATAGCTTTTATTGTTATTACTGCTCGTTTTCCTTTCTCCTGAGGAGCCAGCACTTCTACAGGGGGGGAAAACAAGCGCTGAGATCTCCGGAGCGCAAACAGCTGGGAGGAAGAACACGCGGGGTCACGGGCGAGGGCTGCCCGACCTCCAAAACAGCCATTTAATAGAAAACAAGTGAAAAAAAAAGAGGAAAAATCCCACATGTCTTGGCCTGCCTCTTGGCTATTTCCCGCACATCTCCTCATCCATGGATCTACAGCTCTGAGTGCTAAGCAAGTAGCCCAAAACTAGTGTTTTGGCCCAGATTTAAGCATCCAGGAACAGGGATATAAGGGATATATGAAGAATGAAGGGATATGAAGGGAGGATATAAGGATATGTGGATAGAAGGAAAGGAGGGAAGGGAGAAGTGAGGGATGGTGGCACAGAGAGCATTAGGGTGCGAGTGTGGGGATGGGGAAAGGAGGGGATGGAGGGAACAGAGAAGCGAGGGAATAGGGAAAGGAGGGGATGGAGGGAGTGGAGAAGTGAGGGAATGGAGAAAGGAGGGTGTGAAGAGCACGGAGAAGCAAGGGAATGGGGAAAGGAGGGGATGCAGGCACAGAGGGAACAGGGAAATGGGATGGAGGGCAGAGAGAAGCAAGGGAATGGGGAGAGGAGGGAGTGGAGAAGTGAGGGAACAGAATTGAGGGAATGGGGGAAGGAGGGGATGGAAGGAGCAAAGAAGTGAGAAGGAAAGAAGGGGATGGAGTGAGGGGAGAAGTGAGAGAAGAGGGAAAGAAGGCGATGGAGGAAGGGGAGAAGCGCGGAAGTGGGCAGAGGAGGGGATGGAGGGAGAAGAGGAGGGGATGGAGGGAGAAGAGGAGGGGATGGAGGGAGAAGAGGAGGGGATGGAGGGAGAAGAGGAGGGGA